GAGCACACCTTCGAATAGTATCAAGAAATGTGGTTTCAATATTGAAAATCTTTGTGATAGCCTTAAAATATATTTTCATTTCTAATTATAAAATTTAAAGCTTCAAAAATAGTGTAGATCGAGCAGATTTATGAAAACTTGAAAATCTTAAAAATTGACGACTCAAAAAGATGCACTATTTTCAAAACTTTAAATCCTATTTTTTTCGTATCCATGCATCTTGATGTCGAGATGATCAATTTGAGGATATTTGGACATCAAAACAATCTCTCAAATTTTTGAGATGCGCTCTAATTTGATTGTTTAAAGCCTTGGCTCTATATGAACTTTTTTCATAAAAAAAATAGGGATTCTATATTGTAAGACGATTTATTTTTGGTATAAAGAAGGCACAATTACTTTTAGTCAGATATACATATTCGAAAAGTTTTATTTTAAGTAATTTTGCTCAAGCAATAATACATACTCAACCATCTAATTTCAAATTTAACAGTCAATAATAATTGCGATCTCCTTATTTTAAATAATAAATAGTGTTATTGTATATTTTTAAAATATTAAATAAATTAAAATATGTAAAAGAATATTTTAAGAGAGATTAGGCCGGTAGTAATGCCTTCGACAGACCGGTTCAATCCCAGCCGATTCCCAACCCATACCATCGACTTTTTCATCTCATTAGCTCTATAATCATTCAGAAATGAACAGCTCATTCCTTTAGGCTTTTAGAGAGAGAAACCTCCTAACAGGGCAAAGGTGAGCCTGATCCTGATCCCACAAGGATGCTAAATTAAACATATTGCTGAGAAAGGATAGCGGTAGCCTCTTTCCAAGCTTTTGTACCACAACCACATATCTATTGCCATGGGATTGAGAGAGAGATACACTTTTTTGAATTTTATAGAAATTAATAGGGAGCCGTTACTCTTCTAATGAGAGTATAACTTTCAAAGTCGTGCAAAATTATAATATCTTTCGAAAAGCATTTTACAATGTTAATGGACGAAATTGTATAGGGATTTCACTTATAAGCTCGTTGGTGTCTATTTTACATAGATAGATGAAGATTACACCGCGTCGACTCTATTCAGATTGTATAAGCTCTTTTTGCAACAGTCTAATACAAACATAAAGTATGAAAGCCTCGCTTTGATATGCAAAGACTCCACTCAGGGCAAAATTATGTGCACTTTATCCTATGGGTGTTAAAAAGAGTTTTCCTTTCGTAAGACAAACACTACTTAAGGCATTCAAAGCAAAGATGGGGGCAATTAATTGTTCCTTTAACTTGTGTTTTTTCTTATTGAAAATATTGATATATTAATTAATGTTCAAAAAAATATTGATATATTAATTGTGAAAATCCGAGGCATCTGTGCTTTCTCCAAAATGGATTTAATGCACATCTAAACCCAAAATAGTAATACTTATTTATTATCACTTCTTTTAATTTAATATTATTAAATCGTTCTTTTTACCCCTTATTATTTTGTGTCAGATAGTTATAAATCGCTCAACGACGTGTCGAGAAAACATCAAAATCTCGCAATTTTCTAACTATTTATTGACACGTTATGTTCTCTGAAATGACACGTTTATCCATGATTTGCATCCTAATAAAACGCCATGCATCTTAGCGTAATCGACGACTGGCAATTTGGACCCTCGGATTGAAGCCTGGCATCGCCGTTGGATTTCAAGGAATATCTTATAGGAACTTCGGAGCTTATCGATACTAATCTGAAGTCACATTAATCATACGAATTAACTGAGCAACTAATCACATAACCTATTTGAAAAATTGAGATTCACTTTTCAAAAGCTAAAGTTTTTGACATTTTCTCATTAAAGGCACTTTGGACAACTCAAAATCCTAAATGTGTTGATTCTTTTTTTCTTCTTTGAAATAGTGTCCGAATGATTTGATTACACTAGTGTAAATCAAACTGCAACAATGTTCAGGTTCAATTCGTTTTTCATCACAGTAGTTGATCCAATAAAATTAATATAAGGATAATGGTCAGATAGGGCTGCAGCCCTATCAAAATAAGCAAATCCGCACCTCATAACTCTTCTAAAATTGCAAGTCAAGTATTGGAAAACTTTTACTTCTCGACTTGAACACTATGGTTATAAAAAAACAACAGGATTTTAAGCTTAAATAGTAATGTATGTAATAACAAATTATCTAGATTGTCAATTTTGCTCCAAAAATAAGTATTCATGGAACTTGGATCTGTACTATTTTTTTAATTTAAAATGTTATTGTCGGTTGAAAATTGATTTTAGAGCCATCATAACGAGTTTTAATGACAAAGTACTTTATGGACAAGGACTTGAGGTGATGCTTTTTTTTTGTTTCATAAGGCCTAGACCTTATAGAAACCTCATCCGATCTATAAACACTAAAAATTATTAAAAATTGACGGTCCAAATAATACATTACAAAATACACTATTTATCAAACTTGAAATTCATTGTTTTTTCACATCTATACATCTCTAGGTCAAGATGATCATTTTGAGGG